GTCATCAACTTTGAAATATTGTGTCGCAAACAGATTCTTTATTGAGAACTGAGCTGCGTTTACATTTCCAAATAAAGAAGTGTTAATAAAAAATTTTATATTACTTGTATAATAAGTTCTCTCGGAGGGCTGATACCTTAGCATTTTGAGCGCCAACCCCCGTTCCCAAGCGGATTGAAAGTATATTTACTATCAAGCGATTAACGAGATCGAATTGCTATACTCTGATTGGTCGAAACTTAAATCTTTGTTTTCGATCGTAATAAGACTACTCGGAAAACTTTGTTTATTTCGAAATAATCTATAATATACAAATGATTTGCAATTCATTCTAGATATCGGGTATTTTGATTATGGTCAGCCCATGTTCGAGGATTAGTATTACGTTTTCTATACTTTTCTATATCGTTGACTAATTACGAGTTTCATCAAAACACTTTTCTACGTTCTTTATCCATCTGTAATTTTCTGCATCACACTGTTCATCAACAATTTGTCGCAACTTTTCAATATGTTGCTTAATGTTTTCAAATCGTTTTTTACCCTCTTCAATGCTCTCACTTTCCTCATTACTTTCGAAAGTCATTCCTAGACTGTTAAAACTGCGCGTTGATATGGCACCTATTGAATTAATATGTATTAGTAGGAGGAAGAGAGTAAATGAAATAATAATTATAAAATAAAGGTATAGTTACCTCCTTTATCATCGTTTTGTAATAGCGGGTGTTTCAGAAATGGATAAACTTCTTGGCGAGTTACTGTCGTGAAGAAGTCTAAATTTGAATTTAAACTCGGTGCCGCAAGAACCAAATGATAACATATTGGCCAGCGATTTAATAAGAACGCCCGACAACTACATATCCACCTGGTTACGTCTGTTACATGGACTTGAGCAGTTCGCCTATCATATTTTAAGAGAACTTTCCACTTTTTTTTTAAAGTCCTTCCGCCAAGAAACAGTTGCCCGACCTGTTGCTATTTGATAGTATCGTCGTTGATGATGTGGTAAAAAGACGGTTTATAATAATAAATACCACCAAATCTAATCTGGGACGGAAAATTTCGGCAAAAAGTCTCTTTTAATGACTTTCCAATGAGCTTCAACTAGCATTGTCGTTTTGAATAAGCAAATTTTTTGAGAATGTGCAGCTCGGGCCCACAAAACCCAATGATCTTTTTGATACCAGTTCGTCCATAAATAAGCCCACACATTTTTAAGATTATGTTGAACGCAAAATTCATACATTTCGCGTACGGACGCAAGCCAAATTTCGCTGTCTGATAAGAATTGATTTGTGTCATTTGGTATCAGAGGATGAAGGTGAAAGTGATAGACCATTTTTTCTATAATTGTTTCTCGGAGTTCTTTCGGGCAAAAGCGTGTATCGCAATTTTCAGCTGACCGAATGCCTGTATTACGGTCTCTGGTAAAAGGGTGATAATCCAGATCGATAAAACTTACTGCTGTCTTGGCAAGCTCAACATTATAAGTATTTATTTTAGCAACTGAACTATCAGCTAGCCTTTTTCCTACTGCTCTTTTTAAATGCCAGAGACAAAGTTGGATTTTTGTTGAGGGCCAGACCTGGCATGCGGCGTTAATTTGTGACAAGTCTTTATCAGTTAAGAAAAAATCTGGACTGTGTAATCCATTGTCATGTAAGGCCTTAAAAAATTCAGCGAGAATTGTTGTTCGAACACCATTATCTTTTTCGTATTATCCAAAAATAGATACACCATCGGATATCCAGCTCCATCAATCTGTCCAAGAATTGCATATAATTCGTAGCCTAGTGCATTCGTTTTATCTGTAAAACAATAATATAATTAGCCATATTAGCGCTTATAAGGATATTACATTTGTTTAATTGTATTTACTTACAAGTTGCATCACAAACGATTTCAGTATTGGCTTTCATGTCATTAAAAAAGCTTGTTAGAAAAGCTATATACTTGACTCCATCATAATTGTGAATCAAAATATTAAAACTGGATTCTTGTAAAAGAATTTTGGTGGAAGCAAGCTGTTCATTATCCTTTTTATATTGGTCTTGCATATGTTGCGTCCACCAATAATGCACTTGTTTTTGTGTGAGGTCTGGATAACTCATCTGTAATGACGTAAAGATATCTTTCGGTGCCAAATGCAGCTGTTGACGGATTTCCATTTTCAACTCCTCTGTTACACCACATTTCAGGACGCGGGCGAAGAATATCATGCGTAAATTCGAGAGATGCCGTTTTCGAGGTTTCATCAATTTTAATATTCAAATTGCCATTGCATTTAAACCGATTCATGGTTTTTCTGTCACGCTGTTTTTCAGACTTTTTTGATTTTTCTCTAAAGATTTCAGATTGGGAACAATGGTAATAAAAAGTATTAGTATTTGCATTCGAGGTTGATTTATACTTTTTATGCAAGCTAAAATGAAAATAAGTTAATAATGGGGACGATAGATTTAAAGTAAATAACAATAATAACTTGTATTTACTTGTAAGAATATCCATCACAATCTTCAATATATTTTGCAATGTCACCAGTCATCGCTAAAGGGTTATCAAATTCTTCTATTTTAAGCACACACTTGAATCACATTCCTTGAGAATTATTTTCATAAAACTCATTATTCTCGCTTTCCAACATTTCCTTAATTTTCTGTTTTAGTTCAAACTTTTCTAATTCTCCGAAGTCTAAATCTAGGTCCGATCGCCTCTTTTTATTTTTCGCGGATATGTATTCCCGACATTGCACACAAGTACTTCTTAACTTTCCGTCAGCTGTTTGAAAATGACAAATATTTTTAGTGCCATAGCAGCGTGTGCAAGTCTTGCTTTGTTGCTCCATTTGAATAGAGATAATAGAATTTGGTTATATTTGTAGAAAAAAAGCTTTCAAGAAGAAGGTTTTTATGAGTTGTTTTCTTTGAATACGGGTTCAAACTGGAGTGGATGTCCTCTTTTTATATCTCAATCAATATAGAGAACTGACATTACAAAGAAACATGGCAATTTTAGCAACCTTTGTTATGCGCTGAAATTGTTTCTGTCAATTACAAAGATCATTATAATAATACTTTGTTTAGTGTTCATAAATTAAAGAAACACGAATTTAGCAGTTTTTACAACATCGCCATGTTCACGTTCACCGCCGTTAGTGATTCCAAACCAACCTCGAATAGATAAACAATAAACAAATTATTACTGTAACGTCAGTACGGGACAAAATAAATACAACAATGCGTCATTTGCTTATACTGACCGAGTTTGCATTCAAAAATTTTAAAGAGTGGACTTAAGATGTGATTCAATACTCTTTACCACTGCTTCCTTTTTTTTGCCAAAACCACTACTGTATATGCGGGAAACTCTTAAAGACCTACGTTACCCTGTTCTTTCCGATAAGTTAAAGAATACACAGTGGATACCACCGCAAAGATTAAAATATTGTCCGAAATTAGTAACTCACTCATCACATGACTGACTTACTAACCGTTTACAAGAAAGCAAATTAAGAAATTTTTTTCCTTCTGCCACAAGATTAACATTACATTTTAAATTTTCTGCTTATATAAGAGTTATAATAATAAAGCATAGCGTCGCGCACGAGGTAATTCTTATCACTCGAGACGCTTTTCTTTCACACTGTTAACAAAACAAGCGATCAGAAAAAGTGGTTGGTTAAATCGTATGCCCTATTTTTATAATTTTATTTTTAACTATTGCTATGTAGGTGTTCATTTACACTGGTACTATTTCGACGCCGTCCCCTCTGGTCTGTTAACCAAAGATGGAGTCATTCCAAAAAAAAATTGCTACGCTTGCTCAAGACTTTGTTGGCATTTATAGAATAAATAAATAAAACAATAACGGAACACCAATGCACAATCTAAAGCTGCAATTAATCGAATTTATTCCCCGGCTAAACAATTTTGGTCAATTCGAACACACAAGTGTTGGTAAATTACATAGGCTGGCTACCAACCACATTTCAGCATAATTCCAAAAACGAGAGAGAATGATACT